TGGAAGGTGGAGGCAGGAGTCAGCCTGAGCAATTTAGTGAGACTGTCTAAAAGTGAAAATTTTTAAAGAGCTAGGGATGGAGCTTAATGGTAGAGTGCTTGTCTCATATGTGTGAGAACGTGGGCCCAAGCTCCAGTATTATAAAGGAAAAGCTTCAGGTAAATGAACTCTCTCTTTCTCTCTCTCTTTTTTTCTAAAAAGAAAAAAAAAGTTTGGGACTATACCTGGGCAAAAGGGCCTGACAAAACCTGTTTGCTCCTCTTACCTATCTATTCTAGCAATCCCATAGGAACACATCTATTTTGAATATCACATAAGAACGAAAAAGAATGGTTAATAAGAAAAATGCCAGGAAGTAATGACCATGTCCCATAAGGAGGACAGCCAAGTTCTCTCTAGCTAGATGGGACATGAATGAACTCTCCTTAGGAGGCAGCTTGGTATTTCTGAAGACTCCAACTGCTAAGGAGTGGGGAATCCTGACAGAACAGCCTGTGTTTGAGCTGTTTCATTGAATCATGGTGTTATACGTAAAAGAGCCTGCAAAAGAAGTCATTCTTGGTTGAGGAAAAGGTGCAGAAGGTCAGGGCCATGGAGAAAGCCTTAACTTCACCAGCCCAGGCCCCAAATAACAGAGCCAACCTGCATGCTGGAACACTGTATTGGGCTGGTGTTTTCTCAGATGTACTAGTTTTCTATTGCAGTGCACAATTTCCATCAACTGAGTGTTTGAAACAGCACCCACATGTTTTCTGTGGCTCAGAATTCTGGGGACAGCTTAATTCTTCTGCTCAGGGCCTGGCAAGACAATCAAGTTTTCTGCAGGGTGTGCTCCAGGCTCATGGGAGGCCAGGGACCTCCACGACTCTTGGCAGAATGCAGTCTATGGTTGTATGACTGAGGCCTTTGGCTTCTAGAAGCCTCCAGCAGCTCTTTGCCCTGCGTCCAGCTCCATAGGCAGCTTACAGCATGGCAGCTTACTGCTTCAGTGCGGCGGGAGACTCTCAAGCACATGTTAGCAAGACACAGCTACATACATGTGTGCACATTGTGCCATTCATCTCTCTAACCATGGAAGTGCATCCTGTAGTCTTTGCCATGTTCTGCTGGTTAGGAGCAACTGACAGGCTCTGCCTATGCGCAAAGGGAAAAGGCTACCCAGAGCCTGGACATGGGACCCACACCTGTCTGTCCATCACACCAGACATATA